TTCTGGAGGGACCTTATTACCATAAATCCACTTGGCACTACTATTGATAATCCAGTTCCTGCGGTACATCCAGATGAAGACGACCCAAAGCAACATCTTTTGGATCCAGTTAAACCCGGAAGAAGTGGATCAGGCAAGAAAGCCGTGGCAGTCGTCCCCAGGACCTGACGGAGTAACATCTACGATTTTGAACAAGATTCCAACTAGGGCAAAGTGCTAACTCTACGTGCTTTTGAATCAGCTTGCATGGGTGCCCCCTAGTATTCTCAACTCGAAGACCATCTTCATTCCAAAGGGTGCGAACATTACGGAACCGAGCAAACTCCGGCCGATTTCTATTGCCTCCATATTCCTCAGGCAGCATGATAAGATCCTTGCAACCAGATTAAATCAGTCCATCACATTTAATTCGAGGCAATATGGATTCCAGAAATTCGACGGAATAGCCAAGGGAGTGGACGCCTTGGATAGCGTCTTCCATCATGCTAGAAAGAACTTCAAGTCGGTTGCCTGCGCCTTCTTGGACTTCGAGAAAGCCTTCGACTCTATCACCAATGAAGCTATCACAAATGCCCTTAGAATTAAGGGAATCGGAGAGGACGTTGTAGAATATATTTCACACATTTCATTTGAGGAACAAGAAATCGGAGCCTATTCATCCGGCAAGGGGATCCACTCTCCTCCTCCATATTTCTTTGTGTAATGGATGATGTTCTCTCGAGGATTGATCCCCGGTTTGGTATTTCAGTCACAGGAGAGAAGATGTCACATATCGCCTATGCAGACGATCTCATTTTAATTGGACAGAACACAGTAGCCCTCCAGAGGATGCTGACGTCTATCCGGCCGCCGCTTACCAGTTATGGGTTAAGAATCAACATAGCTAAGTCACTCTACTTCGCTTGGAAGGATGATGAACGGTGATGGAGATTCTGTGAATAATGGCGTTCCTGTTGTCGATCCTGTGGAGTTTAATAATACCAACATCGGTTCTGGAGAACTTGCCCCTCCTGAGATTCGCCTTCAAGAGCCAGATTCTGCCACCCACGAAGTCCATCATCAGCGAAGAAGATCCAGATCAAACTCTGTTGATTGGGACTATTCCTTATCTTATATCGGATCTTAAGGAAACCTGAATTATCTAAAAAACCGTCAGATGTCATCCTCTGGAGGAGACAAGTATCAGTTTTTAGGAAGGCTGCTTTGGCAGCCAAACGAAAGGCTTTTGATGGATTTATCAATAATATAAATTATAAGGAAGATAGTTTGAAAACGTTTAAATTCTTGACAACCTTGCAGAACAAAAGACCTGTTTCTAAAAAGGAGCCCGTTTCCTTTGGTGGAAGACTTTTAACTTCTGATAGAGATGTGGCAAATGCATTTGGTCAAACTTATGCAGAAAACCAAAGAAAAGGATCCTTTGCACTTCTCAATTCAAAACATATTAAAAGGGCCTCTGTGGAATTTGAAAAATCACTGAACAATTCAGACGATGTCCCGGACGATGGCTTTTGACCACCTAAAGCTAAAGAAATCTCCTGGTGAAGACCATATACATGCAGAATTCTTAAGGCACCTTAGTGGAATTGCCAGAGAAACTATTCTTCGCACATTTAACAGGATATGGGAGACTGGTCTTGTGCTTTCACAGTGGAAGCGAGCTGATATCCCCATTCTAAAGAAAGACAAAGACCTTACGCAGCTCAACAGCTATAGGCCAATATCTCTCACTAGCATCCTCGGGAAAACTATGGCGAGACTAATTATCAGCAGACTAAATTGGTTCTTAGATGATAAAAACATAATTGCGGAAGAACAGGCTAGATTTAGGAAAAACAGATCGACAACAGATCAGGTCACTTACCTCAGCCAAACTATTAAAGATGCTCTAGATAAAAGACACATCCTTACAGCAGTTTATATTGACTTCAAGGGTGCCTATGACACGGCTTGGAGGGAGAAGCTTCAACAAAAACTGCTTGAAATCGGAGTGTGTAGGAGAATGCTCAAGTGGATAAGAGCTTTCACGGACCAATGCATCTGCAAAATCAGATTTTTAAATGATTTCTCAAAATTTTATAATTTACAAACAGGCCTCCCTCAGGGAGCAGCTAGCAGTTGTGTGCTGTTCAATATATTCATTAATGATCTTGTTCATGCTCTAAAGTCTATTAAAGATGTTCATTGTTTGCTCTTTGCCGATGACCTTGTCATCTGGACACAAGCATCTAAGAGAAATGCAAAATCTACAATTGAAGTTAAACTTTACCAAGCCCTTGTCCTGCTTTCAAGTTGGAGCACTGAAAATAACATGACAGTGAATCTTCAGAAAACCAGCGTCCAGTCTTTCTCATTGACCCATCGGGAACTCTTTCCTGAATTAAAGTACAATAACACTAAGCTCTCCCATACAAATGAGTATCGTTACCTTGGAGTAACATTTGACAACAAGTTGAGTTGGAAAGCGCACGTTGAATCCATCACGGATCGCTTTCTTAAGAAAATACCCATTTTAAAGCGTCTAGCGGGTTCTCGCTGGGGATGTGCTAGATCAACTCTTAACATCACCTACAAGACTTTTATATTGCCTTTAATAACCTATTGCTGCGAACCACTTATAACAGCAAGCGATCAAATTATTCAGAAGCTGGAAGTTCTACAAAACCAATGTCTGCGACTCATCACTGGAGCTGTTAAAACGACACCTATCGATGCGTTGTTGCTTTTGACCAACACTGCACCAATAAAAGATACCATCGAAGGAAAGGCCCTAATTTTATACGAGAAATTGCTAAGAACCGCAAACAGTTCTTGGGTCATTAACAGACCCAGCTCTAGAAGTCTAAAGACCCAAAATGGTTTTATACAGTGTGTTCAAAAGTCCAGACAACCTTTAAATCTTCCAGTTAAAGTACAGGAAATAATTAAACCAGTAAACCCTCTAAGGGTTTACTGGTTTAATTATTTCCTGTACTTTAGTAAACCCTCTAGGCAATTCGGATTGCCTTAAAACAACTAGTGGCTCTTCATGATGTCTTTGACAGAGTGGTCCTGTTCTCTGATTCACAGGCTGCAATCCAGGCCATAAATTCAATCTCTCCCTCATCTTGTGAAATTCTCCATATCCAGGAATTCGTAGAAATTTTGACATCACGAAAGAAACGTGTTGTGCTCCAGTGGGTACCTGGGCACTGTGGTATCTATGGAAACGAACAGGCGGATTTCTTCGCAAAGAGGGGCGCTGGGCTTCTCCAGCTAAAACATACAGAGATCTCCTACCACAGTATAAAGCTACATCTAAAACAAGTTTTTAAAAGAACTCTTGCTTCCAAATTACAAGGAAGAATAAAAGCCAAGTGGTGGAAAGATGACCTCCTAAATATCCCTAATGGTCCACGCCGTGAAGTTGTGGCACAGTTTCGACTCCTAACGGGCCACGACTGTCTGGCTGAACACTTGCACCGCATCGGTATCCTAAATTCACCTGACTGCCCGCTCTGCAACTTGGCAGAGCCCATGAATAAGACCCACCTCCGCCGCTGTGCTGCATTGCATTCCGGCTCTGAATCGTCGCTTTATTGGCAAGCCAGAGAACTTTTAGGGCAATGACTTCGGTCATTCTGTTTAGTTTATTTATTCACCTGTTTTGTCTTTGCATTTGTTTTCTGTGTTATTTCTTGTTTATGCCCTGCCATTGGAAATAAAAAAAATATCGGATCTTAACTCTGATGGAAGACTTAGACCAGCATTCGATCCCCAGTCTCCTGAGGCTTTCCTTGACCAGGCACTTGAAACTTACGCAACCAGCCTGGCGGATGCTAAAAGAGCTGTTGATCTCTATCTCCAAGCCTTGCCTGGAGCTGAGTATACAAAACAGAAGGTTAGACATCCCGGACCACCAAGACGGACGAACAGACCTGATCCAAAACAGCTTTCTAAACGGAAGTTAAAGAAGATCGAGTACCAACGACTACAAGCACTATACCACAAAAACAGGAAGGCTGCGGCTGAGTCGATCTTCAATCATATTTCTATATCAAATTCACTCTCTTCTGAAGATGCATTATCGTACTGGGAAAATCTAATCACAAAAGTGCCCTTGAATGCCGTCCTAGTTGATCCTGCTGCACCAGTTGAATCGAATCCTGACAACCCAAGACATTAACTACTTAACCCAGTCACACCAGAAGAAGTGATCCAAGCAAAGATGAATTGGCAAACCTCTCCCGGTCCAGAGGGAATTACTTCCAAGATGTTAAATAAGATTCCTATCAAGGCCAGGTGTAAATTATTTACGATCATGAATCTTCTAGATTAGCTGCAATCTATTCTGTTGGACTCCAGAACGATTTTCCTGCCAAAAGGAGTTAACATTCAAGAACCAAACAAGCTTAGGCCCATCTCTATAGATTCGATCCTCCTCAGGCAACACCACAAGATACTAGTTGCAAGACTGAACAAAACCATCTCCCTCGACGCTATGGAGTTTGGGTTCCAAAAGTTTGATGGAATAGCCAGAGGGATTGACACCCTGGATAAGATCTTCAGTCACGCTAAAAAGAGCTTCAAATCCGTAGCTTGTGCATTCATCTACTTCGAAAAGGCATTTGACTCAATCACACCAGAATCGATTGCCAATGCTCTAAGAACCAAGGGAATTGGAGAGGACTTTGTCCACTACATCACCAACATATATTCGAATGCCAGGACAACTTTCTGTCATATCTTTCATACATCTCGCAACGTACAGTGAAGTGAGAACTGAACTGAATAACTAGTAATCAATAATCTATCGACTCCAACGTTGAGGGTTTGAACATGTATAACTTGTCTTTCTTCTATCTAAATAAGTAATTAAATTGATAATGCATTCTTTATTTCATTTTCCATTCATTAAATAACATTGTCTGGTCTGCTGGCTTCCTGATTATAACAATGGCGAGGAGGAAATTGGAATTAAGTTAATTTGCTGTAGCAGTGAATAATCAGCCAAATCCAAAATGCCGAACGTTAGTGCTGGACATTTACAAAGCTTTGTGAAAGGTGATAATTTTGAAGAGTATTTACTACAAGCCGATTTCTTTTTTGAAGCCAATAAGATTACCACGGATGATGAAAAGCGAGCTTTACTCTTATCAGCTATCGGTAAGAAAATATTTTCACTTCTTCGAAACTTACTTCAACCACGTGATATGAAAACGGTTAAACATAATGAAATTTTAAAAGTACTGACTGATTATTACTCTCCCACTTCATCTACTATTATGGAACATTTCCGTTTTTATAATTTACATCAGGGAAACGAGGACATAGCTACTTTTGTTGTAAAGATAAAAGAGCTGGCGAGCAGATGTGATTTTAGTGCATTTTTGAATGATGCTCTTAGAGAAAAGCTTGTTTGTGGATTGCAGTCTGAACAGATTCAAAATAAATTGCTTAGTGAAAATGATATAAATATCATCAAAGCTTCTGAACTAGCACTTGCCATGGAAACAGCTTCCAGAGAAACAAAATCCTTAAAAAAAGGGGGGTACTAATGTGTTGAAAATCTCTGATCAAAAGTACAAGAAGCATCCTTCTCAAAAGAAAGGTGGAAGTTATTCCAAGAAGAGAAACGCTCTTCAAGTACAAGGTTTAAAAGGAGCAAAACCCTGCAAGCACTGTGCAAAATCTCAACAAGGGAATTGCAATTTTGAGAATGCAAGGTGTTATAAGTGTGGTGTTAAGGGTCATATCAGGCCTGCGTGTAAAGTTTCCTCCACAAATTTTGTTGCAGCTAATGAAAGAGTTGGGGATTCTTCAGAATTTTACCTGAACAATGTGCATAATATTGATAATCCTTCAAAACCATACACTATCAATTTTGAAATCATATACTAGGGAAGTTTTAAAGATTTTGGGTAATTATGAGGTTCCTGTTACTTATGAGGATAAATGTTATACTCTTCCACTAATTGTTGTTGATAGTATTGACAAATCAACTTTGTTGGGTAGAGAGTGGATTGAAAAATTGAATATAAGGTTTGATAATTTTATTAATGCTGTGTCCAATGTTAGTAATAGTAATGTTGATAATAGTAATCTTGCTTTCAGTAATTCTTCCATTTTTCAATATTTAAACACTAAATTTCCAAATTGTTTTAATTTAGATGACAAATCTGGTATATAGGGAGATCCAATAAACATAGCTATGAAACAGGAAACAATTCCTATATTTTGCAAGAGTAGACCAATTCCTTATGCCCTAAGAAATTTGGTTGATTAGGTTTGGTTTGGTTGTTTGGGTTTTTGGCGCAAGAGCCAGTCTTAGCTATATCGCACCACCAACTAGGTAGATATTTTATAGCTAGGTTCACAATTCTGTTTTGGTTTAAAAACTAGATAGATGTATAAATGCCAATATCCTTAAGGTATGAGAAAATGTTAGACTAAGGATCATCTCCAATTAGTGAAAACAATGACGGATGGAAGGTACCAAAATGACGCAATCTCTGGTTTTTAAATTTACTGCATTCGATCAAAATATGTATAACAGTTAAATGTTCTTTACAGTTTGTGCATTCTGGTTCTGGTTTGTTTAGAAAAAGGTGTTTATGAGTTATTCGTGTGTGGCCAATACGCAAGCGATTTAAAAGCACTTCAAGTTTTCGACTGATGTTTAACTGTTTATAAGTCTGTATGTAAGTTTCAATGGCGTGTAGTTTGTTACTAGTTTCATTCTTCCAACAGTTTTGCCATTGTGATTCGGGAATATTTTGAATTGATTTTTTTTACATCGGAATAGGTCAGTGGATTGTTCGATAGATTGTTTGTTGATTTTGCTATTCAGTCAGCATCTTCGTTTCCTGTTATGTTTGTATGACCTGGGATCCAGCAAAAAGTTACTTTATGTCCATCTTGTAACAAATTATAATAAGTGTCTAAAATGTTATTGAAAATGGAGTGAGGATTAGGAGATTGGTTATGTAGCGCTGCAATGCAACTTTTTGAATCGGAATATATAAACCATTTTGTGCGTTTCTGGGTTAATATGTACTGAAGTGCTAAGAATATGGCATGAGATTCAGCAGTAAATATTGAGCAGTTTGGATGAAGTTTTTCTGAAATGGTACAAACAGGAAATTTAACTCCGCTTGCCGTATAACCTTCACGTTTAGATCCATCGGTATAAATAGATTTATAGTCAGAATATTCTTCTCTATGAAATTTAAAAGTCTGTTGATAAATGACATCTGTAGTTTGTCCTTTAGTCAAATTGTTAAAAACGTCTAGGGTTTAAACCTGGGTCAATTTCCAAGGAGGTTTCGGCGGAAAAGTCAGTAAGATACTAAAATCCTCTAGATTATGATCAGCTAAAAGTTTTTTCATCCTCAAACCGAAAGTTGGTACTGAAGATGGTTTGTTCATAAAAAGTCTTTCGTAATTGGGCATTAAAACGTTATGATAAATAGGATGGTAAGGATGGCTCTTGATATGAAAATAGTAAGTTAATGATAATTTGTTTCGCTGCGTAGAGAGGGATGGTTCATGATAGAGTACATTTAAACTCTTAATTGGAGAGGTTCGGAATGTTCCAGTGGCAATACGTATGCCTGCGTTGGGAATTGTGTCAAGATATTTTAGAGCTGATTTTCTAGCAGAACCGTAAACAATACAGTCATAATCAAGTTTTGATCGGATAACATTTCGATAAATTTTTAACATTGAATTTGTATCTGCCCCCCAAGATGAGTTTGTTAAAACTTTCAGTAAATTTAGTTTTGCGTTACAAGCTTTTCTTAAATATTGAATATGTAGTTTAAAAGTTAATTTTGAGTCCAAAACCATTCCAAGAAACTTTGTCTCATTTAAGTACCTAGTAGTGATGTTTTCCAAATCTGGTCTTATGGCTGCAACACCTCTTGAGAATATTAAGGAAATGCTTGAAGCGATCAAAAGTGCGCCTCTTAAGCCGCAGGAAAAGTTATTTGGAGTAAGGAATTTCGTGATTCCACGATTCCTGCATATGCTAATACTTTCTACACCTCAAGCGAAAGTACTTAAAAAGGCAGATGTTATGGTGAGAGCCTTTGTAAGAAAGACTATTAATTTACCACACGATTGTCCCAATGCGTATATTCACTCTGCAGTTAGGGATGGAGGCCTTGGCCTCTTGTCTTACAGGCTCGTCGTTCCTAGAATTAGAGCCCTACGAATTGATAGGCTATCGCGGGACCTTGGCTTTGATGCAAAAGGATCCTCTCTCGTCACTGAGTATCTCGAGAGCCAGACGTTTCAAGCCCGTATTTTATATCCGGGACAACACCATTCCGTGGTCGCAAAAACCGCCTTTTACAGCTCTAACGACGGCGCGGCATTAAAAAACTCCAATCAAGTTCCATAGCAACATAATTGGATTGCAGCGGGCAATAGATACCTCTCCAGGAGAGACTATATATGGGCCTCTAAGCTCAGAATTAATGCCTTGCCTACGTTAACATGATCATCGCGCGGGTGTAGAGCTGGATATAATAAAAGAGAAACCCTGGAGCATGTGTTACAAGTTTGATCGAGAACACATGCAAAAAGAATAGCAAGACGCAATGCTATAGCAAAATATCTCAAGAGATCCATTGAAAAACATGACATTGAGATTCACGAGGAACCACTTCTCGCCAGCACCACTGGCCTTCGAAAACCCGACCTGGTCCTTCGTTATGGGGACCTGGTAGTGGTGATCGATATCCAGGTGTTGTCTGAAGGAGAGAACCTCCAGAGGGCCAATGCACGCAAAGCGGATTATTACGCAAGCGACCTTGGATTGATGTGTACTATCAAGTCAATCTATAGAGTAGAGCTTGTTCGTGTCATCGTCCTGCTGTATCAGCTGTCCTGCAGTATGAGCATCTGAAAGTGCCTGGAACCTATTAGATTAAAAGCTAATCAAGAAACAAGACATTCCTGTCATCTCAAAAAGAGTGTTGATCGGGGGCCTGGCCGCATACAGAATCTTCATGAGGTTCACTTCCAGAAGTTGAGAGTGCACTGCTTTGCTAGACGTGTGCTGCAAATTCCTCCGTTAGGCATGTTTTACCTCTCCCTTTAAGGATCGAGCTTCTGTTAAAGGTGGAGAATTGCCACCTGAGTCTTCAACTAAATTGTAATTCATTTAAATGCTTGTAATATTTTTACCAATATTCTTAACATCTCTAGGTTAGTTTTCATACCTCCCTGTAACAGGTTCGAGCAATGTAAGGGTGGAGATTTGCCACCCCTAAAACTCCTCTATACTATTGTTATTATTGTCTTAGATTTAACTAAATTTGGATGTTATTCTTCCTCCCCTTTAATTTGGGTTGAGTGTTGTAAAGGTGATCGACTATGTGACACCTAGAACTCTTGGCTTTCCGCAAAGTTGTTCTGTTACTTCAAATTCTTTGTTCTGTTGTAAATTTGAGTGGTCCGACTCACCGACCGATCTTGTAAAAGAATAATGAGTTAATAAAAACATTTGATAGACTCTTTACCCACCACCTCTGCTCCCCCAGGTTCGCCCTGGATAAACTTCGACTTCGGGTCAAGTGAAACTAAGAGTGGGCAACCTCGACCCTCCCCTGGATTCACCCTCGGGGTTCTAGCTTCGTAGCAGTCGAGTTTCAAAACCAGCTAGTCTTGTTTCAAGGTTCTGCCTTGAGACAGCGAGGCATGACTTTTTTTTTCCTTTTTTTGGAAAAATTTGATCAAGTGTGCGAATTTTTTAATTTGCGCACGGTACAATTCGTCCTTAGCCTCTGTACCATTAGAGGACCTATCACCTCCGGGGAGTAAATGCTCCCAGGTTCGTCCTGGATAAACTTGGGTCAAGTGAAACTAAGAGTGGGTAACATCAACCCCCCCCCCCCTGGATTTGTCCTCCGGGCTTTTGGCTTCGTCAAAGTTCGAATTTGCAGAGAGTTTGGTTTAAGGGTCATCCCTTGAAACACGAAGTATGTCAACCAACGGCTTTGATCACTCAAGCTGTTCAAGTTCCTTTGCAAGCAAGAGAGGACTGTCCCAGCACCAGAGATTGAAACATCCTGAAAGTTTTAATAGCCAAATCAGTGTTCAGAAGATCAGATGGTCTCTCGAAGAAACCAGATTTCTTGCTCTATGTGGAAGAAAGGATGAGTGAGATCCTATCTGATCACTCACAATTTGAATCTCAACAAGATTCCATCTTTGCCATCATTGCAAATGCTGATAGACCATCGTCCAGCAATACATCACCGATGGTTGAAGAGATACAAAATCTCGTACAAGGAATGACGCACGCATCATGCGTCCAATTGCCACCAGGCCTCCAGATGGTGGTTTCTGCGACGAACGTGCCTAAATATTTCAATATTTACTGAACTTGATTGATGCTTTTCCAGCACGTACTGGGCCCTTTTATGAGCTGGATGTTGCGATTAGAAACAAGTATTCTACCAACTTATACGCGCTTTTGCTCGCTTCCGACCTGTATGGCTTTACTTCGAGGGAAGAACAGTGAGAATACATATAATAATGCTCAGCTGAC